TCCATATATTTCTCTTCTCTTCTTTTTCTTCATAATCATCAAAATAGAAACACCCCCTTGGCACCAAAAATCCCTACCTCAGGTCATGAGGAACACTTCATTCATCATGAGGGATGCCAAAATAAGCCATGAAAAGACTTGGAGGAGCTCAGGCGACATCTGTGCAGAAACAGACTGTGTGAGGAAAGGAATCCATGTCAGACATGAATTAGTTCTACCTTTGTCTCATTCCTCACATAGCATGCCTCCAAGCACGTAAAACCGACTCTCACCATAGCACAGCTGTAAATACAGCACTGAGGCAAACAGCATGTTACTGCGACAAGGCAGTATTTACTATCAGTGCCTCCCTTCCCACTGAAACTGGTTCACAAGCTCCAAAACACATGTGTAACTGACACTGTCTGAGAGGCCGCGTTAGTCTGCTGCAAATCATCTTTACAGGATCTGGATCAGGAACGTCTGCTGTGTCACAGAGGTCCAGGTCCAGAGAGGGGTCATCTCTGATTAGGTTTCTGGTGTCGACACAATGACAAGTGTAGGACGTCAGAGTGAGGATTCAAGAGAAGTAAAATGTTAGATATGAAATGTGTCAAATGGATTTTGTCCAATATGATATTTGAACTTTAAAATGTGCTGTCTATGCTGAAGCAACATTTTTGATTGATAGCTGCATTCATTTCTTTGTTAGCCACTTGGAGGCACTGCAACAAGCTGTAAACACTTTATTTTATTTACACATCCAGCACATACAGACTAACATTAACCTTCAATTAGCCGTCATGTTTCTGTTCACCTGACTAGTGTTAGTCAAATATTCACTCTCCTTTCAGCTCTCGACTACGCCAGAACATCTGGTGATGTCACAACAAAGTCATGCCCCGTGCCACACCCACCTGGAACCACTATCCATTGCAGGATTTTGTTTCTCTGAGTATTTACCTGAAATCTGCTCTATATATATTTTTTTTCTTTAATCAGAAAACTGTCAGTCAATCAGAAGAGAGACTCAGAGCCTCCTCTCTTCTGATTGGCTCACCGAACTGTTGTTGCTAGAGCTTCAGAGAGAAGATGAGAGAAAATGAGAGGAGATGTAAAACTACACAGAGATGGTTTTTGGTTCTTAAAACCACAAATATATCTTCTAATGGATCAACACTTCAAATAAAACACAGGAGAAGAGGAAAATATGCAGCTTTAAAGCTTCATTTTGTTACCAGCTAAGGTTAAGGTCGACAGAGCTTAAAAACTGTGCTCTCTTCATTAGGTACATTAGGACACAGCTGTCTCTCACTTTGAGCAGCTCCGATACAGAGACAGAGAGGACACAGCACATATTTCCCTAAATACTGATTTTGTAACGGACTTCTCCCTGAGCTGTCCATCAGAATCCGGGAACACAACGTTAACTCCCTCACAGCGACATTTTCAACACATTAGGATTCACAGAGACACACACACCAGAGTCATGCAATAAACCTCACACAATCACTATTACAGGCACGTCATAAGAATGTAATGCTGGGGAACAACAATGTGGGGCATTCGTAGAGGAATAAGCCGTGGCAGTGGTCCAATAAACAAACGAGAACTTCCTGCTGCATGTGTCCTCAATGGGAGGAAGGAATCACGGCCCTTGTCCTCAGGGCTCTTAATGTGTGTGTGTGTGTGTGTACATGTGTGTACATGTGTGTGTGTGTGTGTGTGCGTGTGGGTGTGTGTGTATGTGTACGTGTGTGTGTGTGTGTGTGTGTGTGTGTGTGTGTGTGTGTGTGTGTGTGTGTGTGTGTGTGTGTGTGTGTGTGTGTGTGTGTGTGTGTGTGT